GAAAGTAGAGAAATAGTTTGAATTGAAAGTAGTAAGTTCACAAGAAAGTAGAGTTGGAGTTGGAAGTAAGTAATACACAAAAGAAAAACAATTTAATACAATTCTCAAGTTTACAATTGCTTTATTAGTTTGGCTAAATGATGCCTCACATATTAGTAGACCTTCAAATATTCTATACAAATGTCAACAATCCAATGGTGTGGAAACTTTCTAGATTCTTCCGTCATAACCAAATGATTGCCTCTCATATTTACAGACGTTCAATGCTTTAATTGATAGTCCAAATATGTATAAATATCAATAATATAGTAGTATGAAAGTCATCTAGATCCTTCCACCACCTTATGGTGGAAAATTTCTACAATTATCTCCCTAATTATAGGGATTTCTACAAAATTTTACATCAATGTAGAATCAAATTCATAACTCAAATATTTGATAAAATTCACAAGTTGTGACATTATCCCCACCTAATACAACCACATCCTTAATGCACATTCTTCGTGAAAGCTTTGGATATTCTCTTTGAATTGCTGCAGGAGTTTTGCTAACTCTCAACTTGTCAATTTCAAGTAGTCCATTCCATTTTCCTTGGTATTTTTAACACATCATTGGAATTCCTACTGATCCCAAACTTTTAAAATATCCAAATTCAACCTTTTAAATCTCCAAATTCAAGACTTAGTAGTATAATTTTCTCTCAATAAATGCAAACTATAAAGATAGCATTGTAAGCAGTGTGTGTGTGTATGTCTTCCAACCTCACTTCTTTCTTCCTTTTTATTTACCTGCTTATGATGGTAGATTAGGGCACATTTATTTTAGCATACCTTATGCTATGCATGTGTGCATTCATGCATTTGTATTGCATGCACCGGGCTCGGTACATCACGCTAACTGCATTTGTACTTCAATTCCAAATTGAATACGTGCATCAATTGACTGCATTTCACATGCCATGCTTAGGTTAGCCGAGCCTACTCTAATTGCATTTTGCATGCGTTGCATTAGCCACTCTAACATGAACTAGGATCACGCATGTTTGCTAACTAGTTTATTGTTTTGGCACGGAGTACTATGTAAGTATTTATGCTTTAGCATCTCGCATGCGTGTGAATGTTGCCATGACGGTATGTTTGCCATGTGGCTAAATGCTTATGTGATATTATTGTTTGAATGCCTGTGGGCGAAGGTTGGATTGTTTGAGTTGGAAAAACTCGTTGAAATCCGTATTTTAACCTACTTGCAAGTAGCAAATTCCAAAGCGCTTTTCAAAACAAACGGATATGCAATGCTTGTTTCCAAATTAGGCAATCTAGTCTATACTTGTTTGCTGTGCGTATAACATAGTAATTCTAGGCTAAGAAATGGAATAAGAACGCATAAAGTTTTCAAAAATGGATATCACGGTTAGTAGAGGCCGGTCTTCGGACCGGGCGAAAGGGGGTGCTCATAGCTGACCTTCTCCGATCGTACCCTAGCTCCCGAGCCGAGACAACTCCGGTGATGACGGACATGTGGCCTTCGGCACCGAGTCAGGGTTTCCTAAATTCCCCCATTTTAAAATATTTAGGTGGCGACTCTGTATCTGGCAAAGCAGTCCATGTTTGGCACTTCTTTTCAAAAATTTGTTTCTCAAAACGATTTGCCGGATTTGGACTCTTTGGTTCAAGATTAAGAACCGTTACAATTTGAGAGTCCGAGCTGTAGTAACCCCACAAATGAACAGAACGGGAGCTCACCCTCCCGGGGTGTTCGGGGGACGTCTACACCCGCGGACGAAATATCCGTAAAAGAATACATGGGTCCCGTTTGATGGCTGCCCATGGACGAAATATCCGTGAAAGAAAAGTTTGAAGTGCTTAAGTGTTGATAAGGTAGTTCTAGAACCAATGAGTTGTAATCTCTTTTGGGTTGTTAAGAAATGATGAAATTGGCTTATGTAATTAAATGAAATGAAGGGGAATGGCTTAATGATTGAGTTTGGTAATTTAAGACTACACATCATGTGAATGCCTTTATCTTTGATGTTGCATATGCATAGTGTACTTATACCTTTGCTAAATTTCATATACTGTGTTAGATGGTTTCTACTGGGTTGTGGCTCACCCTTGTTGGGAATAACATTTTCAGGTAATGATGGCATGCCTCCACTAAGGCAATAACGTTGGAGAAACTTTTGGAAGCAAGGGCTTCTTGTTCTGATTGTATATTTTTGTAAAGCCAAGGGCTTAAGGTGTAATGAGCTAAGGTCACTTTTGATTATAACCAAGATATGTCTTGGAAAGATATGAGCCCGTAAGGCATTGAATTTCTTGTTATTAATTTGCATTGCATGCTGTAGATTCAGAATAAACGTTTGTGAATGTATAATGCATGTATTCCCTTTTGTAATATGAACTCTGTTATTTGAAAGCGTACCAATTATGTTATATTCATTTCTCTTATGAGTTGGGCTATTTGTATTATTTTGAGGGCGTTACAAGTGTGATAGAGGACATGCCTTTTCAAAAGTAGGAAGAAAAAAAAAATCGAAGAAAAGAAGAAAAAGATGTTCAAGAAGTGGATTGTAAGGAAAATAATAATAATAATAATAATAATAAATAAAATAATTAAGTTTAGAAAGAAAAAAGAAACAGAATGGCAGTGACTAAGGCTGCCTCAGAGAGAGAGAGAGAGAGTTTGTAGAGACGAGTTTCGAAAAACCAAGCAATAGAAAGAAAAAAAAATTGTGCTCTGAAGAGAGACTTTGGAAAGGAAAAACAAAGAGGTCCGGGAATGGATCGAGTTGAGGTCCGGCAGGCGGCCAAGGCAAGGCTACCGCCTGCCGGTGAAGCAAAATTACTAGGTACTTAACCTAGATTTAATACCATGTTACAATATATACATACATATATATATATAGAGAGAGAGAGAGAGAGAATATTATATTATGTTGAATAATTAATGTAACAACATATATAAGACTCCTCTATATAGGAGAAGAGAAACCTAAGCATGGTAATCCTAAGGATGATAATAAAAATAATATGGTATGTATAATAGACAAAATATAAAGTTACTATATTTAACACTATTAATAGTTGTATTCTACTTTTTAAATTGTGCTTCTTAGTTCAATTGATAAAAAAAAACAACGCTCAATTAGTACACATTCATGTGTGTTTGGAAGGGGAAAAATTGGGTACACACCTAACCTTTGGCATAGTGCGCAAAGTGGTTGCCCCATGATTTGAACCCATAACCTCAAGGTTATTAGGCTAAGGTTTTACCATTGTACCAATGGTAAAATTGCACACGCATTTAAAATTGCATACATGAAGATTTTATTGAGCAATAAAAGACACTCCTATCTCAATCCATCTATCAGTCAAAACATGCAATAAAAAGCAATTTTGATGTCTGATTAATAATTTCACGTTTTAGATAGAGCTTCGAAATTTCATGCACACAATTCAGAAAAGGCAATTTTACTAGCACTAATTGGCACATACAGATGTGAGGGAGTACTTCGCAGCAACGAGAACCCTGTGGCTGTGACTGTGAGAATATATATTGTATATATGGCATGCTTGTGTATATTAGGAAATTGTGTATATTAGGCAATTTCCTAATATACACAAGCAAGAAAAGGAAATTGCCTAATTCCTAATATACACAAGCATGCCATATATACAATATATATTCTCACAGTGACAAGGTACATGGGTTTTAGAATGATCAAGTTTTAGGCCAAGGCCTTTGTAAAACCTTTGAGAATTGATCGAAATATAATAAGGTGAGCAATTGTGAATGTATAGAGAGAGAGATTGTCATCATACCAATCGCAAGAGATACATGATGTAGACCATATTTTTCTGCAATGTCGATATGAGAGGGGCGATTTGCGCGTTAGTACGGCCGAGCTACGATAACGCCGATCATGACGAACCGTACGCCGCCGAGCAAAAGACCGGTCAGACACGAACCAATGCCTGGCCGAGCTAGAACGCGGCCGAGTGCGTAGCAGTGTCTGATGAACAAGCTAAGAGCAACTCGGGCTAGACTGTGGACGCGGTTAGGGCCGGCACGCTTCTGACCGACCAGCCGAGATAAGTGGGCTTCGTGTGACCGAGAATAAAGGTAGGACGGGTGGAGGCCGGCATACCTCACAACCGGTTAGCCTAATGAACTGATCAATATCAGCTCGGCCATGAGTATCGCCCTTTGGCCCCTTCGCAAGGGATAGTCCGACGGTGCATAGCTTGGTTGAGTGCATGTGATGGCAACTCTCCACAAGTGATAGGCCGGTCGTGGTATTCTGGTCGAGTGTGCCACCTGGACCAATGGCGTGAGGGATAGAGGAAATCTGCTCCAAGCATGCGCCAATATCGTTGGACAGTTCTGCGTGTACTGGTGGGAGGACTAAGCCTTTACATGCATAAGGTGGTGAGAGGTGAGCACTGCCACCTGTCATGGGAAGGACAGCAGAGGTAGTGCGCGCATAATCTTGAGGCTGCATGGCCAGTCTTGAAATATGGAGGAGGACGAACGTTAGAGGTATGCAAAATCTTCCCCAAAAAGAATACTCTCTCTAACAGTCTTCTTCTTCAAGTGGACTGACTTGATCGTCGGAGGGTTTATCCGGCACACTACCGCCGGGCAGCTCACCGTTTCTGTGTTGCCAGGTAGACGCCGTCAAGAGAAGCTTGGAGTACAAGGAGTACGGAAAGCAGAGGATATTTCCACCCCCGTACACGATATATGCCTGCAAAAAAAAAAAAAAAAAAGAGTTAAGCATGCATAAAATACTTACTACAAACAATCTTGAGCTTAATGAAAGACTCCAACAAGTTGGTGATTATCATCTTTTACATTTTTTTATCATAGTTGAATGCTTCATAATTTCAAGAATGATAGATTGTCTCCTCAGTATCTCAATTTTGAGCTGGTACAAAAATACATCTAATACTCAGAGTGTGAGCCATTTGCTTACTTTGGTAGCTTTTTTTACAAGAGTGTTGGACAGGTTGTAACTGAACTCCCCTTCTAAATAACTCCCTGGGCAAAAGGAATAGAGCAATGAGATATATTCATCAAGAGGTTGCAAGATTTAAACATGTTGGTGTTCACCCTTCAAAAAGATTCAAACAAGCATCAGTTGGACCCCAATCAGATGAGAAATACTTTCCAGAAAGTATGCCCATTGCCAGAGGGCTATAGGTCAATAAGCTCACCCTGAAAAAGGTCTAATAGTGAGAAAGGGAAAACAACGTACTACTAAAATTATAAGGCACAATTACCAATCAATATACCTCTCATGATGACAGCATTCAGCCAACTCACAATCAAAATTTTGGCAAGGCAAGTTAAATGAATTCTGGAACAAAGAAAATGAGTTACAAATTAGCCTCAGCTTGCAGATAGCACATGCACACACACACGAATGATGGGTTGCTAATTTCTAACCTTGAATTGACCATATAATACTGTAAAGATACTATCTTAGGGAAAACCATGGCCACATTTGATAGTGAAAAAACTTCATGACACCATATGGCGTTTCGTTATTGAGCACAACATATTTGATCTAATAAAACATCTTTGACTACATTAGGAAAATTCAAAATGGCATGAGTACAAAGATAATGGCAACAAAAGCAGCAAAACCCCTGATAGTGCCACTAACCTTACCAGCATCAACAGCTTTGCCTAGAGTATCAAGCTATTCCTCTATGTCTATTGAATGAAATTGTCGAATCAGATCAAACTTGGTTTCTCCAAACGTTGAATGTAGCTACATGAAAAGCAATGGAGCGCTTCAACAATAGTGGAGTGGAACAATTGAAAATTTTGACGTAGAAGTTCATTTGGCAAATCTATCCATGATTTCCAAATAAAAAACGTGTTTATCTATTTGTTCTTTATTACAAACACAGTATGACTTAATCTGAAAAACACATTATAGTTCAAAAAGTACACAAAATAAAATCAATGGCCCAATAATTTCCCATGAAACTGTTGAACAAAATGAGCAATTGATTATTTATGAAGACTAAAAGCTCAAAATAATAGTATCATAATCAACCACATTTCAAAAAGCTCAATAAAAACTAATAAACACAAAAAGTAGTAGTAGTTAACTTTCTAAACTAATGATCATTATCTCATACATTATTATAACGATAAAAATTCTATGTCTCAGATTTCCCAGCCAAAACATCAGTTAAAATATTTTAGTCAACCACACTATAATCTACAAAATGCCAAGTCAACTTCATTACTTCAAGAAACACAAATACCAATAAATAGCTTCTTTTTTTCTTTTCTTTTTTTTTTTTGTTATTAATTTCTTACTCTAATAAATACCCTCATCTTCATTAACAAACCCACATTGTCATATTCTCAACGGTGGTGTTACATGCACCAATTGATATATCAATTAGTGTACCAACATATATTATGACATTATTATTGACCTCATCCATTAATTGAACTAACATACTTCAATTGATTATAATGTCACATCATTTACTAAACCTTCAGTCATTAACTACTCAAGAGGTTCACCCAATAACAATGAAAAAAATGATTTCTCACAAGAAGGCAATAGGCCCCTGCTTTTTCATCAGGTTAATACAATCTAAACACAATGCTGATGCTAAATTTCCAGCTGTTTAAGGAAGAAATGCTCCTAGAAGATGAGGAAATAAGACTCAGGTTTAAGAAAAAAAAATCCTCTTTTAAACAATCTGTCCAAAAGGCATAACTTTTTTTTAAAAAAATTATACCATAAAAAAATTTATTTCAATTTATTTAATTTTTTTTTTTTGTTGTTGATCAACAACAAAAGAAGAATTTTATTAAAAAGGAGAAAAGAGAAGTACAAAGGAGGACAATAAGTCCACAAAAGCAAAAATCAAAAAATCTACAAAGGAAAAAACAAGAAGTCCTCAAATTTTATTTTTTTTATTTCAATTTACTATCCAATTAAGCAAAAAACAAGTGGTTTACAAATCAAGTGTCAGTAACAATTTAAGAAATATATATTGAGATTTTCATCATCAATTTAAGAAATAGAAAGTTTCCATATTGTTGAAAATTCCAAACATTCTGTAATTAATGGACAAAATTTGAAAGGTATTGCCATATTGATAATTAAAAGTGAAAAAGAAAAAAAAAATTGACGAGAACCAATAATATAATGACACATAGATTTTTTACATTATAAAAATACAAAAATTTGAGAAAAATATATTGAAGTTTTCATCAATAAATACCTTACAACATTGCACTTATATTATATAATGTATTCCCATTTGTCTTGCAGCTCTAGTTCTAGTTCTAGTTTTAAGATGTAAGCTCTAGCAACTCTTTATCACAAAATATATGCTCTTAGTTGTAATCATCTAATTATTTTTATTTTATTTTTTTGGCAAAATATTCATCAAATAATTAGAGTTTATACTCCTACTAGTTTGGGATTGGAAACAAAAACTAATTTCCCATTCATCTACCTTGAAAATTGCTGCAATTAATCACAATATCAACAATAATTAACACATTAGCTATATTTTAACTGAACACATTTGTCAATAAACATGATATTCAAACTACAAAAGCTAACAAATTGAAATCAATTCCCAAACAGTAAACAAAAAGCTAACAAAGAGTTGTTCAATACAAATCTAAACAAGAACAAAACCAGAACAAACATATAAACAAATAGATTAGAACTTACCTCCAATGAGAAAGTTAGGGTTTCTTTTCTCAAAGGAGTAAATTTTTCCACCGCCAATTAACAATTGGATCAGTCGAGAACTTCAAAATAAAATAAGGATGATTATTCAATCAATACATAGAGATACATATATAAATTCATATATATACTTGTATAGAGAGATTTTTAGGAGAAGAAAAATTATCTAAAAAAAGGTTAGATAATGTGTATGCAGATATAAAGAGAACGAGATCGTGAGAGAGAGACATAGAGATCGAGAGAGAGATAAAAAGATTGAGATCAAGAGAGAGTCAGAGATAGAGGGAGAAATTGAGAGATCGAAAGAGAGATTGAGAGATCGAGAGAGATAGAGATTCATGCCAATGTTCTTCAGACGATGAAAGAAAGAGAGAGATGTCGAATCCCAGTGGTTTTGATGCCTGTCTAGGGAAAAACTGGGAAAAACTGGGAATGGAGCAAATAAATAGAAGGAAATAGGAGAAATAAATTGGGCCTTGCATTCCTACGGGCTGAATGAGGTTTAAAGTCACTGATAAATTGGGACTAGCTCTAATGATTCCTAGCCCCAATAGATTAATCTATTTGAAGGGTTTATTCTTTCCTTTCAAAACAACTCTCTATTCTATTTCATATGGACTGTTGCTTTTGGATTTTTGTGGGATTTGATAATTTATAAAAAGTCATCCTTTAGGGTATCAAATCCTGAAGTCAGTAGAGATAGTCTTTTGCTAGTTTTTAGGGCAGCAATTTCTGTAGGTCTATCTTGAAAGGGTGGAGGGTGCTATTCTTTAGTTAATAAGGTTAGATTGGTTGGGGAGCCGTTTCAAGAATAGGAGCAGGTAAACTATTTGTGGAAGGGATAGGGACAAAGTGATGAGCACAAATGGATTTACAATTACGACTAGGGAAATTTGAGGAAGAATTTGTTTGTGAAATTTGAGCAATGTACATAAACTCCAGGATTTATCTCTCAACCTTCTCTGTGATTTCTATATGGTCATTGACTCATTGCCAATTTTGTTGCTAGAGATTTGTGGCATTCTTCAAAAACTACTTACAAGGTTGAGCGGTTGAGAAAGCTTAGGAACTGTATTGATATGAGGTTTCAGAAACCACTAACCGTGTGCCAGCTCGGTACCTCTGAGGGTGTTAGCCCAGCACAAAATTAGCCCCTTTTGGTTCGTTTTTAGGTCTAATTTCAGGGAAGCATCTTGGGCACATTCAAACTTTGTTTATGCTATCTAGATATCAAAAAGCTTGGGGACTTTACTTTCTTCTCCAGCTGGTTTCAACATCAAATACTTATTCTTTTTTGAGTTATGGCCATTTTACCCCCTCAGGAGGTAAACAATGAGTCATTTTCATAAAATGCTCATAACTCTTTTATTTGAAATCAGATTGAAGCTCATTTTTTATGCACGGAAAGCTCTTCCAAGGTACTAAAGAACAATTTTTAAAAATGAGTAGTTTTGCACATAAAATAATGGGCAAAAAGTAGCTCTTTTTGAAGGGCACCGCGGGGTATTTTGTCATTTTGCATGTTTCACTTTTTAGCCAATTTCTAGCCTGGGGAACTGTTCCAAAGGGCATTATGATTTAGTTTTTGTAGCTGGAGATTGGTGAGTTTGTTTGGATGCACAGAAAGAGTAACAGTTTTTAGTTATAATTAGGCAAAGAAAACCAAAGTTTTGGGAACTGTGAATAGTAACAACTACGTTTAAGTCTTGGTGCTCTACCAGTGCCAGGAGTGAGTGGTTGAAGGAAAGATGTTGGCATTGTTTTGGAGGTGTTTGGTATGTGAGTTTAGGAATGTGGTTCTAGGACTTTTGTGAAGTGCTAGTCTTTAAGGTTTTAATTGTTAGAGAGAATGAGAGTTATTGTGTAGGAAAAGTACTAGGGCAATAACCTACTGTGTTGCATAATATTTTGGACACTATTCATGGGCTAAGAAGTATTTTTGGTTGAAAAATTGATGAAATTAGTGGCTACTAGTGATTGAATTAGAAAATTTTGCTTTCATACAGTAAGGTGATGAAATTAGTGGCTACTAGTGATTGAATTAGAAAATTTTGCTTTCATACAGTAAGGGAAGGAGGGCAATTTTCATTTATGAGATTCACTTCAGGCATCGCACCTAGGGTTAAAATTGCACTGAATGATCCCCCATGGCTTCAAAAATATATTTCATTGATATTCATTCTTGGTAATCCAAACACAAATATGGTTTAGACTCCAGTTTGGAAGCAGTAAAACATTTATTGACCAATAAAAAATCCATAACCATAATGTAGACACTCCATTTTGACTGACTCTAAGACTTCGGACACTTGCAAGCCTCCCGATGATGAAATGGTAAATTACGTCATCTTTAGAATGTTTAAGGATGTTTGGAGTTGTTGTGTGAACCCGTTTTTAGCCAAAAAAATAACTTTTTAACCCCAAGCAAGAGAGATAATCCCAATTGTGCTTTGATAAAACGTATTTCCCAAAACTAGTGACTGGTTTTATCAAAAACATTGATCAGAAGAAAATTCGGACTTACTTGGGTCACATGCAAGCCAAGAACATGAAATACATGCACGGATGACACGTGCACCATGGCAAAGGGTGCATGTACAAAATCGTTACGTGTGCGCACATTCAAGCATAGCAAAGCCAGGTATAAAAACTCAATCTTGGTGTATTTTTGGTGGGAGGTGGAGGGAGAAAACGATGAAACCCTAGGAAAGGTTCCAGAACCTTCCCCTTTGCCTATAAATAAAGTCTTTCCCCTCTCTTTCAAATG